AAAAGAGCCTGCTTTTTTTTCCAACCCTATGGTAGTATTTTAGAAACAAAGTTAAGGTTTTTTAAAAAAAACCTGGGGGGTGGGATGTGGAAATAACACCTGGGTAGTAACACCAAGAGTCCCCAAACCCGGGGAAAAAGCAGCGTCTGCCTTCTGAGTTTTTCCTCGCGGTTTACGAACACAGCCCTGTTCCTGGGAGGGCCTTTCCCCGCACCGGGGCTCAGAGAAGGAGAGTGACAGGGTAGAGAGGGGACAGCAATCAGGGTCACGGCTTATGGACTGGGGCTCCGTCCCTCGCTCTTGCTGTTGCTATGACACTCCCCCCCCCCCGTTTCTCTGTGGCCCCTTCCCTGAGGAGTCCAAACAGGCCACTGCTCCCTGCTGCCGTTACTGCTGCTCAATGTAGGGGTCGACTCCACTGACCGGTGCAGCCATACTCGTGCGGGCGCACCCCTCGCTACACGTGCCTCTAGCGGGAGACCTTAACTGCAGCATCGAATCCATTTGCTAATCGCTGTGCACATGTCCACACATTGCACTTGCACAGGAACGTTTCCCACTTTTTCCTCCCCTGCTCTTGAATTTGTAGTGTGCCCCCCCCCCCATATAATCCCAAGAACTTCCTGGGATTTAAATGTAACTAGTTCATCTTCTTATAAAATAGCACTTCAGCTCCTGGCTGGGTGGCTCAGTTGGTCGCACATCCTCCCACGCACCCAAAGGTTGTGGGTCTGATTCCTGATCAGGACACATGCCTAGGTTGCAGGTTTCATCCCCGTTGGGGTGCGTATGGGAGGCAACCGATGGGTGTTTCTCTCTCCTCCCTCCCCCTCTAAAAATCCGTGACTATGGCTTCAGGTGAGGATTAAGAAAACAGAGCAGCCCTAGCCAGTCTGGCTCAGTGGGTAGAGCCTGCAGACTGAAGGGTCCCGGGTTCAATTCCGGCCAACGGCACATGCCCGGGTTGCAGGCTCGATCCCCAGTCAGGGGCGTGCAGGAGGCAGCCAATCAAAGATTCTCTCTCATCATTGATGTTTCTCTCTCTCCCTCTTCCTTTCTCTCTGAAATCAATAAAGAAATCTATTTTTTTTTAAAAAGGAAAAGAAAACAGAGCAGACACCCCTGTTTTTTTCCAGGTGGGCTTGTGGCTCCAGTGGAGATGCAGAGGCGGAGGGGTGCCGGCAGCAACTCAGAACTCTGCAGCTCTCGCTCACGAATGGAGCAAGCTGCCCCGCAGAGCCTGCAGCCAGCCTTTTAGGCGCCCCGACAGCCCCCCTACCGGCCGGGACCGGGGAGCCGGTGGCTGCTGGCACCTGGGTCTGGATGTGCCTTGACTAGGAAGAGCTTGGAACCTGGGTGCAGAGCACGAGAAAGGAATTGGCAAGCTTGCCCTGCGTGGCTCCCATGATCAGCAATACCCGCTGGTCCAGTGGGCAAGCCTCCAGCCCCAGTTTTGAGGAGACTCAGAAGAAAGAAACGAGGGTTAAAAAACATAAAGTAAAAAAGACATTCCTAGGAAGCATTTGGCACGATTGCAAACGGCATCCTAAATTGGCAGAGGGCTTCACAATTATCTCCAGACAACTCCACACAGACCTCAGCCGGAGGCGTCGGCACAGACGAGGACAGGTGCTTGTCCACGGGACGGGATTAGCTCACTCACTCACGCACACGCAGAGGTGCTCAGCGAATTAGAACAGCGAGGGCGCAGAACTCCAGGGCGGGGCTGCCGCTCTGGTCGATAACCGATCCACAGGCTTATGCAGAAAAACACACACGAACCAAACCAGGGACAGGTCTATTACCTATGAGAACCCTCTAAAATGGGAACTGTCAGCCTTCATATAACAAAGATGACACCAAATGTATTTATATGTATGAGCAAGGAAGACACCAAACGCCTGTATTCATACAGTGTAACAAGTTCAGGCTCTCGATCGTCACGCCCCGAGCGCCGGCAGAAGTGGGGCCCCCTCCTCATCTCACACCGGGGAACGGAGACGGTGAGCGTGAAGTGCTTTGCCAAATCGCCGCTTTCTGGGTCGCCCCACAGTGGGGCCGTGCTCTCTGCGGGTGAAATCCGCCCGCTGCGCACATCTCTAAGACGCCCAGCTGGGTGTGGACTAGGACAGGTGCAGGGCCCTTAAAGGGACAACAGCCTTTGCTGGACATCAAGAGTTTAGCTTCATTTAAAGAATTATTGGACCCTCAAAAATAACAATTTTTACCCCTATTCGCAGCCTGGAAAAAACATCGGGAGTTGGACTGGGTCAGTGGTTTGACAGTAGAACCCCCTGACACAGTGAACCAGATCCAAGGCGGGGAGGGGCCGAGTTCGGCTGTGGCAGGCTGTCCCCCAGCCTGCTGGCCTCCCTCTCGTTCCCGGAGTAAAGGGATTAAAACCATGGATGACATACATCCCAAGGCCACTAGCTCTACATTTCACGAGTCCGATTTTAGATCATTCAACTACCGTCAGAGTAAGCTGGGGTTTTTATTTATCATACGGGCCATTCGGCAACAGGAAGGGTTTTCTGGAGCAGGCTGGTCACTGGCAGCAGCGGAAGGAGTTTCATGTGAACCAAAGGGCAGGAATTACACACAGTTGGGAAACATGAGATTCATCCCATAAACGGGGACTTTCCAACCAGAGTGGGAAGCGCCTGACCTGCTGGAGGCCCTGGGCGAGCGAGCCTCTCGCTCTCAAGGAAGCCTGATCAGACGGCAGTGATGTGCCCATGGTGAGGGCGTGACTGTGGGTGACGTGGGACTGGAGAGAACACACAGCCCGTGCCGGCCGGTCCACGCTAGTCCTGGCCGTTGCCCAGCCCCAGGTCCCCAATTCTTTTTGGTTTTTGTTGTTAATCCTCACCCGAGGATATTTTTCCATTGATTTTTAGAGAGAATGAACGGGAGGAGGAGAGACACAGAGAGAGAAATGTTGATGTGAGAGAGACACATCAACTGGTTGCCTCCACCACATGCACTGACCAGGGCCGGGATTGAACCTGCAACTGAGGTACATGCCTTTGCTGGAACTGAATCTGGGACCCTTTAGTCCGCGGGCCAGTGCTCTATCCACTGAGCCAAACCGCCAGGGCCGAGGGCCCCAATTCTTGATAAGTAAGGACATTTCATTTGTGAATTCGTGCTAGACGAACGTTTCTTCCAGGCAGGGGCAACTGTTCCATTTTCCTGCACTTCTTCTCCCTCTCCTCTCCCTGCTCTGCCTCGCAGCTCTCAGCACGGTGCTCAACGCAGTAACAGGCCGGTGCAACACTGACCTGCAGGCCAGTGACAGGCTGGCAGTCAGCACCGAGCACCAGGTCCTGCAGGCGCGAGGGTTCCACTGACTGACTAGGCTGCTGCGGATAAACATTTCATTTTGTCTAGCCCTCAGTTTTAGAACGTGTGCAAAGGTGCTTAGTTCCCTGTAAGAAGCATACGAACATTCACCACTATTAACACCATCAACCTTAAAATATGAGCAAACTCTTCCAGCATCGTTTTCTATTCAACTTGGCTATGGGCCAAGTTCCAAGCTGAATGTACAAAACACATGGAGGGAGAAAAATCCCTAATTTGCCCTGAAAGAGGTGAATCACTCAGATGATGGTAGCTCAGCCGGCTGATGGTGTCAGTAACAAGTGATCTTCGCCTAAAATGCATCCTCATCCCACATCTCAAGGCTTCCCTCAACGCTGACCACCGAGCCCAGGGCCTTCGTGGCCTGGCCTGTGGGCGGGGACCACCTGGAGCGCCAGCACACCGGGCTGACCACCTGCACAGATGGCAGCGCCACCCCCTCCCGGGCACGCCCGGGGATGCCCAGGGCAGCACGCACTCAGCCACGGGCCGGTGCTCCTAGGCCTGCTCAGCAAGGCTTTCCGGTGGCAGATGCTACACTCCGTTTCTGGGGAGGCTGGGAGCGATTATCTAGTTCAGGGGGTTGTTTCTTGCTAAGTGTGAGCTTGGGGATTCAGCTGAGGCCGGTTGGCAGTTCCCAATAAAGGACAGATACGGCCATGAAGCAATTTCCTTTAGTGAGAAACAAAAGGGCTAATCAGGCTCACAAAGGGGCCAGCCTGTGCCTCTTCTAGCAGAAGCAGGGTGCACGTCTAGCCGGGTTCAGTGGGCAGCTTCTTGGTTCCTGCCAACGACGTCCACCAGCCCCGGGAGCAGCAGCAGAGCGCTGTGAGCCAGCAGTCACGGCTCCCTCTGGAAGCCCCAGCAGGTCCCCCGCCCCCGGAGGCCGAACCACACTCCCCACTCTCTCTGTCCCAGCCTGCGAATGGCCCAGAGAGAACTCGGTGCAACTGCTCTGGGGCGAGCGGCTCAGCACAAAATGGAAGGATGACCTGTGGGTGGGGAAGCATTTCTTCTGAGCAGAGCCAGCCCAGCCAACTCAGCGAGCCCAGAGCTACAACCAGGCCCGGGGGAGCCTGCACCCACTGCTGACCCCGGAGGTGGGAGGTGGCGCTGGCCTCCCAGCCTTTCCTTCTAGCCTTTCCTTCTAGCTGGGCAGCTAAGCGCTGCTCTGTCGGCCCGTCAGTACCTGCAGGTCTTTGTCATGGCCCTGCCTCTCCAGAATCAGCACCCGGTCCTGCAGCTCCTCCACCGTCCCCTGGAGCAGGTCGTTCTCCTCTAAGGTGGCGCTGAGACGATGCTCCAACAGCATCTTGATCTGCAAGGGCAGAGCAGGGGTGGTGGGGGGGTGGTGTGGGGGTGGAGTTACACAGTTACCCCCCGGCTGAAGAGGGGAGGGACCAGCCTCCAAGCATGCACGCCCTCTGCCCAGGGCCCCGGGCCCCCACCTCTGAGATGGCAGCTGCGAACCCCTCGGCTACAGAGAATGCCCCTCCCACCGAGAAACCTGGGAAGGGGTGGGAGTGGAGCTTTGGGAAGGCTGGGATGTGGGGTGCCAGGCGGAGAAAGGGACGGGTAGTGCTCTGGAATTTCCACAGATAAGACAGGAGAGCCCCACCCTGCCGCCCACAACCCGACTTCGACCCCAGTGTCCTCGGGAGTGGAACCTAACCCTCTGCGCCCGTCTTCCTCTCACGTCACACGCACAAGCAGACGCTCCGCTGGCCCCGAGCTGCTGAGCCCCCCTGTCCGCGGCTCTCCTGCCCCCCTGCTGGCAGGTCTGGCTCTGGGGGTCCCAGCTCAGACCCGAGTTAGCGGGGAGCTGGCAGGTACCAACACGAGCAGCGCCCGCATCAGCCTGTGTCCCGGGAAGGAGCGCGCAGGCACACAGGGGTGGCTGACTTACGCCGTCTTTTTTGCTTGAATTTGTGAACAGGAGCACTTTCTCTCCTTTCACGAGACAGGCTGGTGTGTTGTACACAGAGTATCTACCCAGTCTCCAGAGACATAAATCTTTTAGGAAGGTCTGTCTGGTTGCTTCAGTTTCAGGAAAACAGGGGAAAGGGATGCCAAGTTTTCTCTGGCCTCCAGGTCTGCAGGTGGAAGCCGGGCCAGCACTCCCTAGGCCAGCGCTGCTTCACCACCGAACACCGCCCCGCTCAGGGCTACGGGAAGCCTTCCCAAGTCCCCCAAACGCCAGTGGCCTTGGGGGGCTTCTGGACCCCTGCAGGCCCCCCGGCTCCTCCTACTTATCAGTTCCCTGCTGGACTGATTTCTCAGCCAGTGTCTTGCTTGTCCATAGTCCCCTGCCGTGGCTGCGGGGTTCTCGTGTGGGTAACAATTCACTGAGGGGGACCTGCGCGGACCTCCCCACCTCGCCCCTGCTCCCCGCTGTCCTCTCTCTGCACTAGAGTTCTGCTCCTGGGCACAGATCTCCATGGCCACCAGCCCATGTCCCGGGGAACCAAGTATGTGGCCTTTGTCCAGAGATCAGGTATCTGGCCAAACAAAGAAACACTGTCTCGCAAGCATGCGCCCGTGAGGGACCGAGGGAGCAGCCCCTTTTGTGAATGGGCCCACTCTTCCCTCCCTGAAGCCACGCAAGCACGAAGGGAATTCTTACTCCAGTTGATTTTCATGTAAACCCCCTCTGACCCTTCCATTTCCTCCCCCTGCATCACCCTTGCTGCCCACGCTCCACTCCGTGAAGCCATGAGTAGTTCTGAGACCAGCCGGGCCCAGGAAGTCACCTGTTTGAAACGAGTAACCTCACAGCCTGGGTTTAACAGCAGCAGTGCTGCTGGGAGCGAGGCATCGGCAGGAGGCGGCCAACTCCCCCCCCTCCTGACACCCCCCCCGGGACTTGTGACAAATCTGGCAATGCACATTCCTGGGAGTGGGCCTGTGCGGCGAGGGTGTGGGAACAGTGGATGTGGGGGGGGGGGGGTGCGGGGAGAGAGAAGACAGGCCACTCGAGGAGTCAGACCCCGGCGGCGGCAGGTGAGCGGCAGGTCATGCACACAGACGGACACGGACAGGCATGCCAGGCCACGGAGCAGACTACTTACTTCAAGGACCTGCTGCTCCATCCCAGGGGAGGGAGGGAGGTCGGGAAGGAGAGGCAGGAGGAAAGAGAAGACGCGGACAGACTTTAGGAAAACATCTTTGGGTCCTTCACGAAGCAGGGAGCAGCCTGCCTCGGGCCTGACCAGGTTGGCGGATTCCTTAACCACAGTGGGTGCCCGTGTGCCTGGCCCTGGTCTGTCCTCCAAAGTGTGACTCGGCCACGGGCGGCTCTTTCGGGCACGTGGCTGAGGGTCCTCGGAGCAGATCAGGGAGCAGCTCCCAGGAAAAGGCCTGTCTGGGTGCCGGTATGACCCCTCTTCTCCTCCCCGCCCACACCTGCGTGCTCCCAGGATCGCCTCCTCAGTGCTATGCTGCTCTGCCCTCCCGCCCACTCAGACCCCGATGGTCACGCGTCCACTTTCAGTGACATTACAACCACCACACCCAGCGCTTCCCACGTGCAAACTTACCAAATCCTCCCAACCACCCTCGAAGCAGCTACTCTACTGCGCTCACTTTGGAGGTGAGAATACCCTGTTCAGGCTAGTAAACGGGACCCGGTGGAGTGGAGGGAGGGAAGACTCCCTTCCCGTCTCCCGTTAAGGATGGGCCCGATGCTTTCGGAGGAATCAACATATTCAGTACAAAGCAGGTCACTCATGATTTCAACACGCTGAGCAGTAACTCAGCTCCCTCCTCCTCCAGACCACGGGCTCCCCGGGAGCGTGGCCGTGCTCCCCGCTTAGCCCCTCGCCGCTCTGTCCCTCTAGGATCTGAGAGGGCAGGGCTCTGTTTCCCGGGTCAGAGGGCTCCTTATCGGAAAGACCGGACGCAGCGCCCGCAAACAGGAGAGCACCTGCACCCCAAGCGCGCCCGGGGCTCACCTCGGCCTGCAGGCTCTCCAGGCGGATGATGTGCTGGCTGGTGGACGAGTTCTTCTCCCGGAAGTCCTCTCTGAGGGCGTGGACTTGCAGGGACAGCTGTCTCTCCACCTCCGATGCCTGCAAGCAGAGAGACCTTCAGAGGGGGCGCCACGGCGGCTGCTCCGGTTTTTGCCTTTCCTTTCTCAAGCGCTTATTTCTCTGCAGCTCTATTCTCTGAGGAGAAGATGAGGCTGGTTTCCTCCCCGGGTTCGAAGGTCCTCTAGCACCCACACGAGATAGGCCCCTGCCCCTACCTCCACCATCAAGGGCATGTCGGGGTCCAGACCACTCTGCTGGTGAGAGGCCAAAGGTCTAGAAAGGAGTCAGCTCGGAAAGGTTACCATCATCATCGTGACTCGGCACACGGCAGCAGCTCAGCAAAGCCTCGGTGTGTTACACGAAAGAATAAGACAGACAGACCTACAACCGGAGAAATGCCGGTATTTCTCCCATCCAGCTCCTCAGCGGGGCCCAGGGGGCCATCGTGGTCTGCATTTCTCACGTCCACTCAACACGGCACTATTTAAAACTCCGTCATGCCTGTCAGGAGTTATGCCTCTCACTCCTCAAGGACATTATTTTGCAACATCTTTTTTGTTGTTAATCCTCACCAGAGGATATTTTTTCCCATTGATTTTTAGGGAGGGAGGAAGGGAGGAGTGAGAAACATCGATCGGTTGCCATCCGCATACACCCCAACTGGGGCCAGGGATCAAGCCTGCAACCTAGGTACGTGCCCTTGACCAGAAATTGAACCCGAGACCCTCTGGTGCGCAGGCCAGTGCTCTAACAATTGAGCAAGCCGGCCAGGGCTATTTTGCAACTTTTAATTCTCTGGGGGAGTGCTGGCTGAGGTGCTCATTTCCTGCCCTAACCCACTTATTCTCTAATGCTGAAACAGCAACACCAGGTATCATGGTGGGTCAGCACCTTCTCGAATACCCAGGCGAGTATTCTGAAAGAACGCTCCCTGCTCCCTGGATAAGACACAACTCGAGTCTTCCTCCGGGGCCCCAGCCCAGCCCCACTCAGGCGCTCCCCGAACACTGCCCAGTGCAGAGGGGAGCCACCGGACCGGCAAGGAACAGCTCCGTGCTTTTCTGAGTCGAAATGGGGTCAGTAAGCTTTATGGTTCCCAGGCGAGATCACCGTGTGCCGAGCTGCTCGGGAAAGGCTTTCTGGAGAAGGTGGGACGTCATGATGCTGAAACGGTCGGCCAGCTGTTCAATGAGGCTTTCGCGGTAATGGTTACAGGTTCAATGGTTCTTTTTATCTTCAAGGGCTGTATCATCAACTGTCCGTCTTTTTTTGGGTCCCACAGATTCGACAAATGTTGCCCCTCCCCTCCATCCCCAACTAGAGAGACACGTAAGAAGAATCTTAACTTATAGTTCTAATTTTAAAACAACAATTCTCCCTGTCCAGGTAGCTCAGTTGGTTGGAGCATCGCCCCGATATACCAATGTTGTGGGTTCAATCCCTGGTCAGGGCACATATAACACTCAACCAATGAATGCATGAATAAATGGAACAACAAATCGAGGTTTCTCTCTCTCTCTCAAATCAATAAATAAAACACAACAAAATAAAATGAAACCATTTTTTCCTTCATATTCTAAATTTAATTTCAGACACTGCCAGCTTGTTTTAGACTTCTTAATCACTTAGAAATATGTCAGTCACCCTTGCTTAAAAATAACGTTAATATTTACCAAGTCTATGTGCCAAGAACCGTGCTAAATGCTTTAAATGCATTGTCTCAATTGTCAAAACCAAAGTAAGGCCTAGCACCTTCAATTTACTCCTGAGGGAACAGGAAGTGAAGAAACTTGCCCAACATCTCAGTAAGCGATGACATCAGAATGGCAAACTTTGGGTCATCTTACTCCCAAATTAGGACTGCGATGCTCCCTTCTTTAATCTTGAAATAGTTTTTCCCATTTCTATGGCTCATTCTCAAAACCAAACTTTGTGAGTCCAATTTAGCAAGGCGTCTTCCTTCTTTCTTTCTATTTATTTTTTTTAGCACTAAGCAATTTTATTTAAGACTCTTAAAATTTCTTCTAATAGAATTTAGGGCCCAGGAGGAAATCCCATCTCATACGTGCTGCAGTGTGACTGCCTGGGCTGAATTCAGCTGAAACCCTACCAGGGTTTCAAATACGTGTAGATTTGCAAAGTGCTGGGCAATTCAGGAGCTGACCTTATTCTGAGCATCACCCCCATGACATGAATCATGAGACAACGCAGCCGCAGAGGGGCACTGAAGGCCACACATCTAGCCCAGGTGGTCTCAGATGTGCTCCTGTAGACGGGTCTCCTCTCAAAGCGACCTCCCTAGAAATAAACCGCGTCTCTTCCCACCAGGAAGCCCGACTCCAGCATCTGAGTGCGTAACCACTGAGCATCAGGCCTCCTTTAATGGCCGCCTCCTCAGATGTGCCAAGGACACGGTGCTCACAGGCCTTTAATCTACACTCGCATCTGAACTGCCAACAGCCCCACGAAGCAGGAACCCAGGAATCACTGGCCTCATTCTGCAGACAGGGAGGTGGAGGCTGACAGGGAGTGGCACTGCCCTGGTCCCTGGCCGACAGGTTCTGTGCTCCCCCCTCCAACCAGGTGGCCAGTCATTTGCCTGTGATGATGATGGAGGGGATGGATCAACTAGACAGACGGATAAAGCTACCATCTGCAAGGAACTAATGCACCTTTCAACAGAAATGATTTTTCCGAGATGGAATCTGGCTTAGATCTTTAGACCCATCAGAATGAATATTATCTATTTCTGCACATAAATTAAGTAACACAACTCGAATGTTCTAAATGCTTTCTGATCAAAGTATCAGGAAACCTACAGAGCCCTTTTAGCTCCATAAGCAATTTCCCAGCTTCTCTGAAGTTCTTCAAGTAGGAGAGTTAGTTAGCCAGGGCAACTAAAGGGACCCACTCCACTCCTGAGAGGAGATGGCCGGATGGAAAGAGAGTCAGGTGGTCAGGGCTACAGTTCCTGTTCTACCATCATATGTGGACGAGTTGTTATGTAATTTAACCCCTTTCCCAAATTATAGACATGTTTCTCCTTCACACAGTAACACAAAAAGGGTGGGTCTAAAGGAACACCCATTTCCCTATTTCTTATTCAGGACTTTGTGGGTTCAGTCAAATCACTGAAGTTGAGGGAAATAAAGAAAGAAATACTGCATTGCTACAAATTTAGGGCAACTGTGTAAAATATTAAACTTTCCAAGGATCAGTTGTTTTTCTTAAAAACCAAGTACTGAGCCCTGGCCGGTGTGGCTCAGTTGGTTAGGCGTTGTTCTGTGCACCAAAAGGTTGCCAGCTGGATTCCCAGTGTACGTGCCCAGGTTGTGGGCTCGATCCCTGGTAGGGAAGACAGCCGATAGATGTTTCGCTCTCACGTGGGTGCTTCTCTCTCTCCCCACCTTCCTCTCCCTAAAAATCAATAAAGATATTTTAAAAATCCACACAAAAAAACAGGTACTGAGAACACCATGTTTATGTCACAGGGTGCTCATATACACAGTCCACTTCAGGGTCGGCACTGAAAACTGCCTGTTCAGTGACTCAGCCAACATCATGAAGGTGTGGGTCAAGCTAGAAAATAGGGGGAAATACAGAAATATTTAGCAGCCATACCTTTCGGTTCTGGTCTCCTGGTGACCTTTCAAAGCTATTCAATAGCCGGCCAATCTCCAGGTTTAATAGCTCTCTTGAAGATGCAAATTTTCCTACTTAGGTTTAGGGCAGCAGTCATGGCCCTTGGAAATAAGAATTTTCCTCCTTCCAGGTTTTGGACTTGGAGGTGGCGGCGGCATGATCTTAGAACAATTCATTCTGATAATGGAAAATGGCGACAGGACTCATGGTTTACTTCTCAACATGATGAGTTTTGGCTACCATGTCTGATTAAGTAGTCAGGAACAGCTACGGAAAAACTGTGGCAAAGAATGCCATCGGTAATCAATAATACAAAAAAGATGGTGCGATTTTAGCTCTGGTTTTTCTTGTTCTTCAACTCAAAATTTTTTCTATGAGAGTAACAAATGTTCAGAATTTTAAAAAAAGGGGGGGAGGAGAGACCAAAGGATCGAAATGGAAGTTACAGTCCCTGTTCTCTAGTGATAGCGCTGATATCACCCACACTGGAGTTGTTTCTTCTCTGAGTTTTCTATTCATATCTATCGAAAACATTACCAAAAAATTTACCTTTAAAAATACATATTTTAACGTCTTTCTATGTCAATATGTAGATCTACCTTATTCTTTTTAACAATTGTCTGATATTTAGGTATACAAATATACCATAATTTATTTAACTAGTCCCTACCTGTGAGCATTTAGAGTTCCAATTCTTTGCTGAAAAAAAAGAAAAAAGAAAAAAATCTTTGCTTACCTATCTTTGTCCTAGAAATGAATACATTCCTGTGAGTGGAATCACGAGGTAAAAGGATATTCATTTTGATAGGTATTGCCAAACTGTCCCCCCAAATAGGTTTAATTTATATCCCTACCAACAGAGTACAAATATGCCTGCTTCTCAATACCTTGCCACCAGTGGGTATTATGAAACATGTTAGACTTTAGATATTGATTTCTAATATTCTCAAATTTGCTCTTACTTTCATTGCATACAGCTTGGATGATTATAAAAACAAGACATTTGAGAAATAACTCTAATTCTGTTAAAGAATGCTGAAGAGTTTAACAAATAGTCCTTGAGCTATCTGAAGCGAACTCCTTTTATAATGTGAGTGCTTGGGTTGTTATCATTAATTAATCTTCAAAATGGCAAAATAAAACGGACGTTGTATAGGCAGAAAAATATCAGATATAAGTTGTACTAGTAGCAATATCTTTACCGATACAGCTCCTAGGGCAGTGGAAACTAAAGAGAAAATAAACAAATGGGACTACATCAAAATAGAAAGCTTCTGCACAGCAAAAGAAACCATCAACAAAACAAGAAAGCCCACTGCATGGGAGAACATATTTGCCAATGTTATATCCGTTAAGGGTTTAATATTCAAAATTGATAGGGAACTCACACAACTTAA